TAATTTTTTTTGTATGACCAAAAATTATCATGAACTATGTATTTGAAAATGTCATCTCACAATTTGACATCCTAATCGAGCTCATACCGATACGCAAAACAGCTTGCTTCGAATACGTTAGCCCGAGAAAATAGTTTTTGAGGTCCTCCCTTCGAACTCAATGGAAATGGTTGTTGTAATTCCTATGTAAGACAGTTTCCTCTCATGTTCCCCTATCAGTGCGTGAGAGTAGTACTATAAAAAGCGATTTGAACATTGAATAACTTACCTTCGATGGAGTATCGTCCAGCGCTTTCACTGTTGCCGCTGTCTCCTCAGCCTGCAATCATCAACAACTCCAGTAAGTTCGAAATGACAATTAGTGATGAGTGTTATCAAATTTCGAGCTTGTTGTATATTAGTAAACAGAGGCACAATTCGAAGAACATCCTATTTTCCTTTGTGGAAGTCTTGTGGGATATCTTGTTTAGCCTTCCGTCGTTCTAGTGTTATTTATTGACGTATCTGCCTTTATTATTAATGGACCTTTTTCATTCGTAATTGCTTGCGCATGGTTCTGTAAGCTCTAACGGTTGAAGGTTAATAATCCAGCAAGAAATGGTAGCGCGCACATCATCAGATTACATCGTTCCTTGTCAGAATTCGTTCTGCCTATGAACCATGATGCTCAACAGGATGTCCTGCTAAGAGAGAGTCGCACGTGTTTGGAAAGACTGAACCCGTTGCAACCCAAATTATTTCCACGCGGAGATATTGATAGTTTGCTGTGTTTCCCTCAATACGAGAACCTTGCCGTCTGTTTGATCAGAACAATGTAAAGGTACTTGAAACATGCTTCTGTGATCTCGACTACCTACCATAGTTTGCCTAGGGCCTGATGGTTCCATCTTCTGGTCTGCTTGCTGTGCAGCGTATGTATCTCTCTTCTGATCTGGTAACTGCGCCGTAGCCATGGGTGCGTCTGCTGGTTGCGGTATTGCTGTAGATACTTCAATCGTTTCCCTTCTCTGCTCTGCTGGTTGCGCTAATGTCGCAGATGCTTCCTTCGCACCTCTGCTCTGATCTGCTAGCTGCGCAGCTGCCACAGATGCGTCTGCTGGTTGCATCGTAGCCACAGGTGCTTCAGTAGTTTCTCTTCTCTGCTCTACTGGTTGAGCCGTAGCCACAGATGCTTCATTTGCATCTCTGTTCTGGCCTGCTAACTGCGCCGTCGCTATAGATGGAACTGCTGCTTGCGCTGTAGCTATAGGTGCTTCATTCGCATTTCTGTTCTGATCTGCCAACTGTGCCGTAGCGATAGAAGCGTCCGCTGGTTGAGCCGTAGCCAGGGACGCGTCTGCTGGTTGAGCTGTAGCAGTGAGTGCTTCAATCGTTTCTCTTCTCTGTTCTACTGGTTGTGCCGTAGCCATGGATGCGTCTGCTGGTTGAGCCGTAGCCACGGATGCGTCTGCTGGTTGAGCTGTAGCAGTGGGTGCTTCAATCGTTTCTCTTCTCTGTTCTTCTGCTTGCGCGGTAGCCATGGATGCGTCTGCCGGTTGAGCTGTAGCAATAGGTGCTTCACTCGTATCCCTCTTCTGACCTGGTGGTTGCGCCGTGGCTACAGGTGCTTCTTGCGTCACAGCTGGTACCTAAATTGTAGAAAAAAGTGTACAACAATTATTGCACCCTTTGAGTTTAAAGGCACAGGCCAGGATAATCTTGGGTAATCCAGACTATGACGAAAAATGGACGATAAGATGGAAAATAGTGCGGTGAAGGCGAAGAAGCTGCCTGCATCGGTGTTTCCAAAGTGAAAAAGGGTTTCGAAAAATCGTTGAAAAGGGGATTGGACGAGAATGAGATCAGAAATATAAAGAAGAATGGAGCGTATGGAGAGCTATACAATGTGTGTCATCACTTACGTGTGGGTCCTGGTGTGAATATCTAACTACGGTAAGCAAAAATTCATTCACTTTAAAGCATCAGTTAACAAAAACGCTAGTAGCAACAAAAATAGCTCAAATTTTTTTAGTCTCTTGGTGTAGGAAATCAAATAAGGGATCGCGGCAGCAACAAGAATTTCAGAGGAAGAAAGAATGAGAGAAAAAAATCGCCTCATCACTCTGCGATGAGCTGATTGTGTGTAGGTACTAGAACGAACAATTGCAATCTGTATCGCCCCGACACTCGTCTTGACGTGATATCGACCGAGGGGCGGGAAGTCCGCGTGATCCGGTAACGGGGCCCCACTATACCTTAGTTGAGTTTTGTCACTCGACAGCGTCCTTCTTGTTAACCCCGGGGGTCACTGGGTTTTCCTAGAGGGAGAACTCAAAACCCGTTTTTATCGNTCATCACTCTGCGATGAGCTGATTGTGTGTAGGTACTAGAACGAACAATTGCAATCTGTTTCGCCGCCCCGACACTCGTCTGACGTGATATCGATCGAGGGGCGGGAAGTCCGCGTGATTCGGTAACGGGGCCCCACTATACCTTAGTTGAGTTTTGTCACTCGACAGCGTCCTTCTTGTTAACCCCGGGGGTCACTGGGTCTTCCTAGAGGGAGAACTCAAAAACCGTTTTTATCGTGACCTGTGCCTTTAAATGAATATCATACTTGCGCAATCATTAAAAGAGGCCATATGTAATGGAAATCATATCATGAAAATATTCTGCAATGTGATCTATCATCTGCTCGCAGTGTTAGTAGATTGAATTCATAATGAACAGTGGTATTATCTTCCACCTCTCTAGCATTCAGAAGTGGAAGTGTGTTCCAGTGGCTACGTCCTTCACTTTCAAGGTGTAATTGAGCAGTG